TAAAATTTTAAAAAAATCTTTTACATGTAAAAATTTTAAAAATGTATTTTCTCTATCTTAAAATAATAAACATTTTTAAATTTATCTTTAAATTAAGGATTTAGAAACAATTTCTATTATTACATATTTTATCCTTAAAAAAGAAGAAAAAAAAAAAGAACCTTTTTAAGAATAATGATAAATATGATCAAAATTTAAGACTAAAATTTGAGATTAAAATTTAACTAATGTCACGTTATTTAAATATTAAAAAGTGGATCTTATATTATTTAATGATTAATTTTTTTAGGACATGTGATATTGTAGATAATAATAAGGTTAAAGTAAAAAAATATATTTGCTTATCTTAAAAAATAAAAAATAATAATTAATTCAAGACAAATTTGAAATTATAGAGCGATAATTATTTTGGGATAAATGGAATAATATACTCCCTACATCCTTAATTAAAATTTTTAGAAATAATTATTGCTTTATAATTTCAAATTTGTCTTGAATTAATTATTATTTTTTATTTTTTATTTTTTATTTTTTATCTAAGATAAATGATTTTTTTTTACTTTACAAATATATATTTTTTACTTTAACCTTATTATTATCTACAATATCACATGTCCTAAAAAAAATAATCATTAAATAATATAAGATTAACTTTTTAATATTTTAAATAACGTAACATTAGTTAAATTTTAGTCTCAAATTTTGATCTTATTTATCATTATTCTTAAAAAGGTTCTTTATTTTTTTTTAAGGATAAAATATGTAATAATAGAAATTGTTTCTAAATCCTTAATTTAAAGATAAATTCAAAAATATTTATTATTTTAAGAGAGACAAAATACATTTTTAAAATGTTTACATGTAAAAGATTTTTTTAAAATTTTAATTTGATAAAAATAATATTATAATCTTAATTAATTAACAAATTAAGCTAACAATCTTAATTATTTATCATTAATTTTGATTAATTTTAATTTAATCCATTTAAGGACTTAGTAAATTGTATTGTGGAATGGTTTGAATATAAAATTTAATTGAAAATGTTGTGAAGTTTTTGGGGTTAAAGTGTAATTTTTCAAAACTACATAGACCACATAATTGGTGCCACATTAGCATCCCGTAGGATTCCGTTAAAAACACTAATGGAAGTTTGTTAGGTAGATGAATTTGAAATGATTTTCAAAGTTTATGGATGATTTTGAAAGAAGCTAAACTTTCTAGACTAAAATGAAAAGAGAGTAATAGTTAGTAGATGAAAAATTAAATTTAGCCCATTAAAATTAAATAAATCAAAAGAAAAGAAAGCACAATTGGAGTTTTGGTTTTCAAAAGAGAGGACAACTCTACCAGTCGAACTGAGCAAGAAGCAGCAGCGACAACAACGCAAAACCAATGGCAACAATGAAGTTCTAAAGATGGAGAAGTTATTACTGTTTTTGCCATCGTCGGAGAAGAAGAACAACTAATTTTAAAATTCTTAATTATTATTCATAATCCCATAAGGCTATAAGTAGACTTGTTGAATTG